TAATCAATCATACCCTTAAGTGATTAAGTCATTAACGGGTTCAATGTTCTTACTTAACCCTAATCGTTATTTTATATAAAACCCTAATCATCATTTCATGTAGGGTAGTCATTGTTGTAATGAATATAATTGGTGATCAGGTATTGAATCAAGTATCTTCCTGTAGGTGATTGGAAGTGAGTTGAAGATGGTAGTGTTCTTTGTTGCTACAATGGTTATCTACACACATATTGAGGTGAGTTTCACCTCAATGTACCCGTGGGTCGAAGGCACCAGTTTTGGCCCACTAGTTTTAGTTATCTGCTAGTAGAGGGATGCCCTATGGACGGTATATAGTCATGTAGGATAAATTGCGAACTCTTTATATAAGCTCTCTTACCTATTCCTTGTTTGGTTGTGGTTCTATAGTAGGATCACCTTTCCGGGTGACTATCTCACCTTTGAGTATATACAACCATGCATTCCTTGGATTGTTGATATATAGTATATTGTTATGTTATAGTGATCTGTTATATCTGTCTCTTGGTGTTGAGAATGTTGCTTTGTGGTATATAACCCGTAGAACTGTATCTTATATGTGCTTGTTGGTTATCATCTATGGAGTTCCCTTAGGGACTGTCGGTATGTGGTCATGTAGGATAGCCTGAGAACTCTTGATCTGGGCTCTCTTCCCTGTTCCTTGTTTGTTGTGGCTCTAGAGTAGGACCGTATTTTGGTAAAATGTGACTGTATGTCACAAAATATTTTAAAGATCACAATATAGAAAAATATGATATGATATATATAAGAAATATTGTAGGGTTTTTTTTTTATAATTTTAAAAATTGGTTAAAGATGATTTTGTAATTAATATAGCTCTACATTTACTCGAGTATACATAATTTGAATTAGTTCTTTGTATTATACATACAATTAATTCCCAAAACATTGAGGAACAATATAGTATTGTTGTTTCATAAATTTGCCACCATATTTTCAAGATTTGCCACTTTTGGTCCTACTCTTTACTAAATTGGTGTGGTGGCCCCATATTTTTGAGATTTGCCTCTTCTGGTCCCTATGCTTTATAACTTCCTACTCTGAAGGTATGTATGCAAATTTTCTTTGTAAAAATTATAAAATGGTTGTGTTGGTAAACATTATTCCATGCGTACACTAGCCTCCCTTTCTCGCACTAAAGTGCGGAGCTTCTCCTAGTTTAAATATATTGTCATAAAAATATGTTTCATTGAACAGGAGAAAGTCAACGGTACTAAAAAATTAGTCAAGGATAACCCAAAGTACTTTTATTCTAATATTAGTTGATCTTTTTTTAGAAAATTAAAATTTGATATCGGTAATTCGAAAATGAATTATCCATTTGTGTCTTGCACAAGATGGAAAAAATAAGCTCGGTACTTTATATTGCAATAATTGATTTGTTAGTTGATGAAGTTGTAACTTATAAATAAGATTTCTTAATAAGGAATTAGTCAATAAAATAGTTAGTTGATTTACATAAATATGCAGAGAAAGGTTTAGCTCAAAAATCTAAGGTTAAATAGGCTGTGGAATGGGATAAAAACTCAGAGTTTTTTCATGGAATTTAATGGAAAAATGATGGTAGATGGATATAAAAAAAAGTGTCATGAAAGTTGGTAATTTGACTGAAGACGTGAACTTTATTAAACTAGAATTTTATGATCATTTTAGGCAACATTTTTCTCCTGTTGAGGGTTCTCGAGTTTGGTGTGGTTTCGAGTTGCCTTATCGGTTGTCTTCTTTACAAGTCGATAGTTTGGAAGTCCATATCTTTTGGAAAGAGATTAAACATGCGGTTTGGGATTATGGTAACGATCGTGCTCCTGGCTTGACGGTGTTTGATTTGCCTTTTTATAAGACATTCTGGTCGACCATATAGGTAAATGTTGTTCATTTTGTTAAAGATTATTTTGCCATTGCTCAATTTCATAAAGGGTGTAACTCATCTTTCATAGATTTAATTCCTAAATTTATTTTTTATGCAATTTGTTTCTGATTTAATACCGATTAGTCTGATAGGTTTTCTATATAAAATATTTAGCAAACTGTCAGTTAATCATCTAAGTTTGATATTAGATGTTGTAATGGTTATGAGAGATACTCTTTTGTACAAGGTTAGAAAATTTTGGATGGTCCAGCGGTTCTTAATGAAGTGATGGAGTGGTATCAAAAGCAATACAAGAGTTTGTTAGTGTTTAGAGCATCCACAATGGTGAGTTCAATGGGAGAGTTGAATGAGGTGGCAAGTCCATGTGTCATTCAATGGATGGAACTCAACCATTGTGAGATTCCACCTTGGCATTCAATGGATTTGGAGTTTAATGGCCATTAAACTCTTTAATGGGAAAAAGGAAAGTTTTAATCCTTAAATACTTACTATAAATTATATTTTGTAATATTCTGTTGAACTTTGTAGAGTTCAATGCATTGCAGACAAAACAACAATAGAGTTGTATGAATTTTAGAATGATGATATGGCAATCCATTAAACTCTATGGAGTTCAATGAATTGTGGATGCCCTTAAAGCTGACTTCGATAAAACTTATGATTATTCGATGGGGATTTTCTAGATATTGTCATGGATGATATGGGGTTTGGCTGTAAATGGAAAAGATGGATAGAGGGTTGTCTTTGGAATGCTCACGATTCTATTTTGGTTATGGTGCTCATACAGTCGAATTTGAGATTTTTTGGAGTTTTTATCAAGTGATCCAATTTCTCCGTTTCTTTTTATCCTTTCTATGCAAGGTTTACATGCAATTATTTGGAAGGCTTTATTTATTGGCTTGTTTAGAGGTGCTTCTAGTGGGTTTAATGGCTTTAGAACTTCTTATTTGATGTATACGATGATGTGATCTTTATAGGGAAATGATCTTTACGCAATGGTAGTAATTTGATTGGCATGCATGCTGTGTTGTTTTCTTTCTAAAAGAACTAAAAATAATTATATAAAAACGTATGTTGCTGGGTATCAGTGTCCCTAAGGGTGGAATTAATAAATTGGATTTGGTTTTGGGACGTAGGGCTTTAACTTTCCCTTATACTTACCTTGGTGTTCCAGTTAGTTGTAATATGTCGTGTATTGCCAATTCGAAGTGTGTTGTTGAAAAATTTAAAAATTAACTTTTTGTAAGAAAGGCTCATACACTCTTTCTTGGTGGTAGATTACCGTTGATTAAATCAGTTCTTGGGAATGTACTTAATTAATATATGTCTTTATATAGAATGTCGATTGATGTAGAAAAATGTTTGGAGTATTTTCAAAATAACATTTTTATAGGCAAAGATTTGGAATATATGAAGATGGCATGGGTTTCTTAGAGAAAGTGTTTGGCAAGTAGAGATCTACGGATTTGGTTATTGGGAGTATTTTTTTCTCTGGATATATATTTTCTTGTTTATGTGGATATAGAGGTTCAAAATGAATCCTCATGAGTTATGACTTGAATTGATTAAAAATATATACGGTGTCAATGGTGGTATTCAAAAGTCGTCACTCGTAGCTCTGATACTTCTCCTTGGAATGTGATTATCAGTGCTACTAATAATCTTTCTCAGAAAGGTATTTATCTATTATCTCTACGTAAACGCAAGCTTGGTAATGGGCCTTCTATTTTGTTTTGGGATAATTTTTGGTGTGTTGGTATTTCATTCAAATGTCAGTTTCCTAGGGTCCATGGTCCAGATTTGGAGAAGTCTTTCTCAGTTTCTGAGCATCTCTAGTTATTTGATTGGCTCTTGGTTTTTAGCAGGCCTCCTAAAGGTGGTCACGAGATGTTCCAGTATACTTCTTGAAGGTATTGTGTTGCTCAAGTTAATCTTGTGGAGGAATATGATTCTTGGATGTGGGTTTTACAGTTGTTTCAACTCGAGTTTTGATTGATTCTAGATTTTTAGAGACATCTTTCCAACCATCCAGATGGAATATTTTAACCCCTCCAAAGTTAATATTCTTTTGGCGGAATTTGATATACGCCCTTCCTAAATAGCTAAATATCGTATTTTCCCCCCCTAATGTTTTTTAATATCATATATACCCAAATCTATTTTTTTGGTATTTTTTATTGATTTGTAATTGTTTTTCATAATATTAAATCATTATAAATAAAATACATTATGAATGGACAACAATACCCTTCCTCCTAATCTCCTATTCACCACACGATTCACAGATTACATACTAGCGATCATAGCGTTTTTCCCACAATTCATGATCAAGCCCATGTTGTCGATACCTCCAATCAACATCACGATCGAGTATTCCATACATTGTCGACCGTTGCATCCGCATCCAATCAATCGTGCTTCCATTTAATCTTTCTTCCAATCGCATACACACACACGCACATTTAAATAAAAACTGAATCCATTCCCGTTCCTCAATTAAGCATTCAATCGTTCTTCCAGTCGCATTCCTAGACTTATTTTAGTAATCATGATTTTATGATTTTTTTTGTCAATTGAACATTCAATTGGGGATTACAACTGATGAATATGTCAACTACACATCAAGAATCTGGAATTGGTGAAGTCCCTGTATCAATTTCATAATTCCTTTTCCATATAATTTGTTTGATTTGTCAATGATTCCATTATATCATGAAGAAAACTAATTGATTTCAAAATAAAAGACACTAACTAGAAAACTATTTGATGTCAAAACGTGACTTCATGGGAAGACACTAACCAAAAAACTAATATTGATTATGTTGTTGTTGTTTGATTTGTTTAGCAGTTCCTAGACTTATTGCAGCTGCATATAATTTGTCTAATTTGTCTGATGATTCTATTATATCATGAAGAAAACTAATTGTAGTCGTGTTGTTATACTTTTATATCTTAATCATGTTATACCTTTATATCTGAATCAACTACACTTAGCTATTGTGCCAATGATATGCAATGTTGATGTTTGTAGTCGTGTTTTTATACCTTTATATCTTTTTTGTTTTCTTATCTTTAGAGGCGATACAAACCAATGTCGGAAGATCATTCTCAAATAGAAGATACTACCCTTCATGATACATCAAAACCCATATGGGAGAGCAGGGCTACATCTCTAATAATCGAGTATGTTTATGCAAATATCTTAATGTTAATTCAATTAGACATTTACTAAATTGTATGATTGTTTCTCTAATTAATTTTCAATTTCAGGCATATACCAACATCCAAGTTCAAGTTAAAATTGAAATTTGGAGGTTACTTTTGGCTAATGAAGAATAGTTGTAGGAAAATATATTGCTTTGGATCTCAAAAATGTATCCACATAGACACATTTTTATACAAGTTTAGTCAACTACATGAAGAAGTGGTAAAACGTTATTCATCAAAGAACAACCCAAAAATTTCTATTTTTTATGTTGACAAGTATGCACTAGAAAAATCCCTTATTGTGCTTGATTCTGATGAAAAGTTCATGGCTATGCTTGGCATGTATGGAAGCGAGAAACAAGTAACCATTTATGCAACAATAGAGAATAACATCAGCTCCAATAATCATACTAACCATTTGTGTGCCAATACAGATGAACCACACAATGAGTATGATGCTGACCATTGTCCTAGTGAAGAAAGCTATCACAGTCATCTCAGTTCTGATAATGAAGATGATATAATGAATGATGATGATGTAGTTTACTCATCTAGTAAGAATAGTATAAGCATGAAAGTCGGCTCAAAATTTGAAAACGTGGTTGATTTTAGGAGAGCTTTGAACCATTATGCAGTCATAAATGAATTTAACTAATACATTCAAAAAAGCAACCTGACATGGTTCACAACAAGGTGTGAAAACCTAGAGTGCGAGTGGAGAATTCATGCTTCTATTACACAAGATGCAATTACCTTTGAAGTGAGTGTACACTTTAAGTTATATTTAACATGCTTCATATTAAAAATATATTTATGATTATTTCATTTTTTTAGGTTAAGAAAATGGTAGAAGTACATTCTTGCGCTTACAGCAACAAGGGTGGCAATAAGCGAGCCACTCAAGGATGGATTGCTAATGTAATTACTGACAAGTTGAAATCTGATGGCCAGGTCTCTCCATATGAGCTTAGAAATTGGATTATGAAAACTTACAATGTTGATGGCGAGGTCTCTCCATAGAGATTGATGTGCCATACCTAAAATTTTTTAGAGGGAAAGAGTAAGCTTATACCGACGTGTATGGTAAGTAGGAAGACTCCTTCATGAAGATGGAAGAATTTATAGAAGAACTATTATGAAGGAACGCAGGAAGCATTGTTGAAATTGACTTTGACATAGTTGGTGGAAAGAAACTTTTCAAAAGGTTTTTTATTTGTTTAGCAGCTTGTTCTAGAGGGTTTGTTGCTGGTTGTCGTCCGTATATCGGTCTTGATGCTTGTCATTTAAAAGGAAAACTCAATGGTGTATTAGCCTCAGGAACTAGTATTGACAGTAACAATTATGTCTTTCCAATAGCATATTGTGTGCTTGAATCAGAAAACACACAATCATGGACATGGTTTCTTGATTCACTGAAAAAAGAAATTGGAACGCCAAATGGTCTTGTTATCTCATCAGACATGCAAAAAGCGTTAAAAGTAGCCATGATGAATGTTTATCCTAATGTTGAGCATAGAGAATGTATGAGGCACTTATATAGCAACTTCAAGAAACACTTTCGTGGGGACTTCTTTAACAGAAAACTATGGGTTGCTGCTAAAACATACCATTCTACCAAGCATGACAGATTATTAAAGGAAATTAGTGATAAAAATGAAGATGTCATTGCATATCTAAATACCAATCATAAAAAAATATGGAGTAGAAGCAAGTTTGGTACTACTTCCAAGTGTGATTACATCACTAATAATATTTCAGAAACATTTAATCCTTGGATTGGTAAATTACGCTATAAACCCGTGCTTGATCTCCTTGATGCAATTAGGGAAAAGATTATGAAACGGTTTGATAAGAAAAGAAATTTGGTGAATACATGGAATGGCACATTGTTTCCTATTTCTAAAAACCATCTCAATGACATCACTAAGGTAAGCATGTTAAATAATTCAGTTGAATGATTATATTTATTTTAGTATTTACTTCAATAATACATATATATCATATATATATATATATATATATATATATATATATATATATATATATATATATATATATATATATATATATATATATATAAATTATCATGTAGAACTTGGGAGAGTATGAAGTTACTAGAAGTTCTGAGAATCAAGTTGAGGTGAAGTACAAGGCAACACGTTGGGAGGTCAACCTAGATGAAAAAAAATGTAGTTGTCCAGTGTGGCAAGTTCAAGGTCGACCATGTGTACATGCAACGACTTTTATTGCTTATATAAGGATATTAACTGGGACAAATATGTTGATCCATATTTCACTATAGAAAACTTTAAAGCCGCATATGCTTTTCAAATTGCTCCGATGCCCGGATAGGTTCAATGGGCACAAAAGAATGGAGAGAAAATATATCCACCTATTATCAAACGCCCAGCTGGACGACCAAAAAGAATAGAATAAAATCATCGGATGAGTCTAAAAGAAGACACAAGTGTCCGCGATGTAGAGAGTATGTATACCGTGAAAAGACATGTAAAAATCCTGCATCTCATAGTTTTGATCAAAGTGAAACATTTACATCTAAAAGGTTACATGGAAAGGATACAAAATCACATGGTGTTTTGAGAGTTTCGGGTTCTACATGAAAAGGTCTCATGAAATTAGTTGGTCCTTTAGAAAAAATTTGTAAGTTTAAGTTGAAAATATTCTTAGTTAGGGTTCAATAGATGGATTTTTTTGTTAGTACGTGACATAAATAAATATTTTGTTTTAGTTTTTTTTCATGGATTTGCATTTGTTGTGAAATTGGTAAATATTGTGCAAATTTAAAGTTCAGGGACCAAAATGTAACTAATTTCAAATATATCCTTTAATGACCAAAATTGTATATATTACAATTAAAACATACAAACATAAACAAATATAGCTACTGTTATTAACTATTACAAAATTTTGAAAGTTTAATGCTATATATCATGAATTCCTCAAAGTACAATGCTATTTCTTAAGATTCGCTTCACGCTTTGTGTCCTATCCACTACATTTTCAAAGACTGCATGATACATGATAAGTTTCTTTTGGCCACCTAAGACTTCTCCTCCAGATATGTCGATTATTGTGTCCCATGAACCGTTCGGACCTTGTATGTGTGAATCCACAATAATATTGCCTTTGATAATTCCATGTACATCCTTCATATTCACACAAAATCCATCAAAAATAGATATAGTTAGAATAATTTAATTAAGTACCTAAAAAATCTCAACACAACCATGATAAAGAACAACCCGGGTTATTACATAAATAACAATGTATTTACCTGTAAGCATCCACCATCGGCAATAACTAGTTCATCTACAAAGTGGCTTATGAGTTAAACACTTTAAATGAAGGGATTTATTTCTTTCTTATGGTTCCTTTTATGGTTTTGGGAAGGGGTTTCACAGTTGAGATATCATTTGCTAACGTTGCCATGAATTGATCTTCATTGTAGATGTAAGCAAAACTCTTAAACTGGACACTACAAACAACATATAAAATTATAATGCTGGTGTTCAGTACACTATTTACACATATACCAATTCAACCTATTTAATCAGTTTAAAAAAATAGAATGAAAACCTTATTACCTTGTTGCTTGTAGTTGACTGTATCTTTGGAATCACAAGTGTTGAAGGCAATGCTTTTGAATAAGATCAATCACCGAACTCCTAATCTCATGAGGCTGAAGATCATGGCCGAAATTAAAAGTTCTTAGTTCACTAAACCGATTGTACTTGAAATCCAACATAACCAAGCTATCAAATACAACATAACAAAGCGGATTGTAACAAGACTTTGAACAATTGAAACTAAAAGAACCCTAAAACCGAAATTAACAAGATGGAAAATAGGTATATGTTGATGCCGATAGAACCTGGTTTGATGATGCAAGTGTGAGGAGTGTGTGACAACAGGAGGAAGAAGGAATTGTGCTATGATCAGAAGGAAGGTAGATACTTGATGCATGTGTCTGTATGCGATAACAGGGGAGCACCAACTGGAATCAACGATCGATTTAGATGTAGCGATTGGATGCAAAAATCGGAAGCCTCATGGAAGGCTTGATGTGTGTGTCTTATGCGATAAGAGGTGAAAACGCAGAATCGATCCATAAAGTTGTGAATCGTGTGGTGAATAGGAGATTAGGAGGAAGGGTATTGTTGTCCATTCATAATGTATTTTATTTATAATGATTTAACATTATGAAAAACAATTATAAATCAATAAAAAATACCAAAAAAATAGATTTAGGTATATATGATATTAAAAAACATTAGGAAGGGTAAATACGATATTTAGAGCTTAGTCTGGGCAAATACGATATTTAGCTGTTTAGGAAGGGCGTATACGAAATTCTACCTATTCTTTTTTAGAGGTTGAATTTGAATAAAGCTCTTACTAGAGTTAATTTAGATAGATGTGATATTGCAATTGGTTATGTGATGTACTTAGACGTTGAAACTATCAATCATCTTTTTTCTTGCGGGATGGTGATGAATTTGTGGAGTTTTCTAGCTACAAGGTGCTAGTCGGATTTGCTAGTTTTGTCTTCTAATTTCTGAGTGGTTATCTATGATTAATTATATTTGAATGCATCTCCAACCGACAAGATGTCTGGATGTTGATGGTCTTACTATGTTTGGGTGATATGGTCCTTACATAATAGAACGTTTTTCAATTCGTGCAAGTGAAACCTTTGAAGGCGGTGGTTTGAGATTTCATTCAAAATCGTTTTTTTTAGATTAATTCAAGATTTCCTAAGTTTCAAATTAAATTGGTTAATTGAGTGCAAAATCTATCTCTTGTCTGTTGTAATTACTAAATGTATTTTTGTTTTTGCTTTTGCTAGCTATTAATATTAATGCCGCCATTAAAAAAACACGCGTTCGTTTGATTAGAACAAAAAATTATATGATCTTCAATTCATCAATTTATATTTTATAAATTTATCGTTAAAAGAATGCGGAACCCAAAAATTATGTATTTGTATATGCCAATTAAAAAAAATATTGAAACAAAATATGCGTGCATATTGTAATATATCAAAAATAACAATTAACTATTCTTGAAAAAATATATATATTTTCTGTTATTTTCAAACTAAAATACCCGCTTATTTTGACCAAACATTAAACTAGATACGTATATAACCCGATAGTGTTTTTCGAAATATGATTGGCTAAACGTTATTATGAAAAGGAAATTTAAAATAATAAAATTTCTATAGATGAAAGCGCCCAGAAAGTCATTGCCTCATTGGAAGTCTGGATGGTAAACAAAGGCGGCTCAATAATATTGATACCTTAACGTATATTTATGTAACTGATGACTGAGAATCCTCTCATACTTTCTTTTTAGTTTCCACGAGCTAAAATTAGATTTTGTCAATCCAGTTCATAAGAAACATGGCCACTGCTGGTGCTTTGAGTCCTGATGATCTAGATACTAAATACAGTATTAAACGAGCCCCTACCTCAAAACCTCCATTTTCGTTGTCAGATATCAAGAAAGCCATACCACATCATTGTTTCCAAAGATCCTGGATTAGATCCTTTTCGTATCTTGTTTTTGATCTCATCATTTCCTCGATCTTGTACTACCTCGCCACAACATATATTCCACAACTCCCTCACCCTCTCCCTTACATTGTATGGCCGGTTTACTGGTTCCTTCAAGGTTGTATATTCATGGGTCTTTGGCTTATTGCTCATGAATGTGGTCACCATGCCTTCAGTGACCACGTATGGATCGAGGATTCTATAGGGTTTGTTTTACATTCATGCCTACTAACACCTTACTTTTCCTGGAAAATAAGCCACCGACGACATCACGCTAACACCGGTTCTCTTCAACATGATGAAGTATATGTACCAAAGACAAAATCAAAACTTGCTTCTTCCTCGTTTTACCTTGACAACCCAATTGGTCGAATCTTAACACTTCTTGTTAAACTCACTCTTGGATGGTACATCTATTTGACAATCAATGCTGCTGGAAGACCGTATGATAAATTTGCAAGCCACTACGATCCTAGAAGCCCGATTTTCTCAGAGAGTGAGAGAGTATTGATCCTCATGTCTGATATCGGACTTATAACATTTTCTTACATGTTATACAAAGTGGCGATGATTCAAGGGTTTGCTTGGGTTTTCTGTGTGTATGGAGGTGCATTGATGGTCATGAACGCGTTTCTTGTGACCATCACTTACCTTCATCACACTCATCCTTCTTTGCCTCATTATGATGACTCTGAATGGAACTGGATTAAAGGAGCACTGTCTACTGTAGATAGAGATTATGGAGTTCTAAATAAGGTGTTCCATAATATTACTGACACACATGTGCTACACCATTTGTTCTCATACATTCCACACTATCATGCCATGGAAGCCACCAAAGCGATCCGCCCTATTCTCGGTGAGTTTTATCAAAGTGATAACACTCCATTTTTCTTGGCGTTATGGAGAGAATCCAAGAACTGTCTATTCGTGGAGCCGGATAATGAGATCGATGAGAAGAACAAAGGTATCTACTGGTTCAAAGGTCAATATTGATGTCATGTTTGTGTCTTGTAGTGCTTTTCAACCTTAAACAGAAGATGTAATTTCTTGTAACTGCCTTGGCCAATTAAAAACAATAATAGTATAAACTATGGTGGTTTGTTGTTTGAAGTGATCTGTTGAAATTAAGATTAAAAAATTTAGCATTTTACATTAAAATATAAAAATTTGAATTTAGTTTTGTTTTTAAAAATGGCCATTTAGAAAAAACATTAATAACTAAATAATAAGTTGATCTTTGAATTTATTAAAAAACTAAGTGGTATGCTCGTATAAACGCCGATATAATAATATTGAACTTTGAAATAGTTCTACCACATACACACAAAATACCAATAAAATTAAAACCTTCAAGTGCTTTCTTCTAAACAATGGTTGTG